AAAATAAAACTTTACACTAAACTGTCCATTCAACAAATCTTTTTGGTAATTTTATTTTCCGGGGTTATGTCACACAGATGGCTTGCTGTCCTGTCACTTGGAGAATTCTCCCTGGGCAGGTGGTCAAGCAAATCAATTAGTGGCTATATCCTTCTCAATTCTCTGGAAGTGATCTCGACAGGAACCCTGGGTTTCTCAGCAGGTTGACTTTCCGTTGACAAATTCTTCTCTGGAATTACCCATTTGGCCATTATTTCTTCAACTTATCTCCAACGATGATCATTGAGGATTACTGTTGGCTTGGATTGCCTGCCCCTCTGGATTTTCTAAACTATACTATTGATTCTTTTTAGTACAACATATGACCCTTCCCAATACCTGCTTCGTTTTGGAATTTGTCCTTTCTTGCAGCAGGGATTGTACAGCCATATCATGTCACCTTAATGCAATCCAATCTTATCAGTATTAACATCATAGCGACTTATCGTTTCACCACCAGCTAATTTAAGACTTGACCAGGTAAAGGCGCGTGTGACCTCAATGGTGTTCCTTAGTTTGTCTGCATATTCTGTGTAAGACTCTACAGAGAGACTATTCTCCAGTTGAGAGTACATAAGGTCCAATAACATTTTAAGTTATCTCCTAAACATCAATGGTGATGGTGTGTTGACTGTAGCTTCATATACTGCTGTATGGTAATACATCAATAAGAGGGAAAGATCTTGATCCCACATTTTTAACATTCATCATATAAATCGTTTAACAATGTACAGCAATGCCTCTCCATTATGTCCTCAGAAGATGGATAAAGGGTTGTTATCCTGGTCTTTTTCATTACAAGAACCTGATACATTTCTGAAAACAAGGCTAATTCAAACTTACGTCCTTGATCTGAGTGAAGTTCTATTGGTGAGCCAAATCTTGAAAAAAATTCGTTGACAAGTTGCCTTGCTAATTTTTCTGCTTTATGGTTAGGAACATCATATGTTTCTGGACTTTAGTCCATCATAACTCACAGTTAGTTTGTGGCAGAGGACCAAGCACATTGAAGCAATTTTTCTCAGGTAATGCTCCAAAACAATACTGCTACATTTGCCCATGCTGCACCTTTCATGGACCTTTTCACTTACAGCATAGTTTACATGTTTTACACCAATTATCTATAGATCTTCAACCAAATAGAAGGACACCTTTACTTTCTCCAATGTTTTCTTAACACTGTATCTAGCCATTGGAAGGTTATGAAGATGACGGGGTGCTTTATATTGTAGAGATATGGAAGTACCAGCTGCTGTCATTGTTTCTTTTCCCATTTTCGACGAAATAAACCTTCTTATAAGCATAATGAATCCCACTGTGCTCAATGCATCTTTGTCCTTGGGCTGTATGGAGCGACTGTTTACCACGAGGGCCTTTCTACAGTCTTCTTAATCCTTTGAATGATTTGTTTCAAACTGAGCACCTATCAGTTGAGTGTTGGACCACATTAGTTCTTTATCATTACTTATTAATGTCACATCTTGGATTATGTTCTATTGTATTTTAGGTTGGTAGTATTTATTATCTTGTACATCCCTCTTTTCATAGTGTTTACATTCTTCATTAACACGTGGTCTTCTGGATAATTCATCACCATTTACATGGTTCTATTCAGAGTGATGCACGATGTTAAAGTTGTACTCCTGGAGGTTTTGAAGCCATCTTGCTATCTGACTTTCTGGATTGCATGACCAGTCGAAATATCAAAGTTTTGTCCATATAAATAATGGTGTGAATGACTTTGGACTAGAACAACACTTAGCAGCTCTAAGTTTTACAATACGTATTTCTACAACATTTATTGCCTTGCTATAGCAGGCAACCACATGTTATTTTTTGTATTATATTTGTGACAACACTGCTCCCACTGTATAATCACTGGCATCTATAAATTGGTCACGTACCAACGAATCCATTATTTCATGTGGAGCATTTAGGTAAAATAATTAGGTTAGCCTTTCCAAAGTAGTTTTAGCTAAGTTTCTTCTTTGTCTATACACTCTGTTCCAGAACCTTGTTCTGGACACTTTCTTCTAATGTGTCACTTAGAACCTGTTGAATAAGGCAGCTATCAATATTTGACAGTTGTTACGACTCTCAAGTGGAAGGTTACTTAATGTCATTCAAGCTAGTCCTTTTAAATTGGCTGTAAGATGAATCGTTTGTTGTTCACTATTCCATCTGTTTACCTTGGAAATTATTTCGAAATGAGCCTGATATGGTACCTTTTGATCATAGTCTGCTGTTTTCTTAACTGGGCGATTTTAATGAATTAGCAAGTTCAATGCTGGAACTGGATTTGGTAGTGGCATGGCTAGAATAGTCCAGAAAACTCCTACAGTAACAGAAAGCACATCAGTAGTGGTAATGGGAGTAGACCAAATAATTTCTCCTATTCCATATTTTGTAATAGATGGTATTTTAGGCTGAAATTTTTACCGATCTTCTTTTACTTTTTTGTCTATTTCTTCTTGACATTTTTTATTTGTTTCATTATCTCGTTTAATTATGGTTTCTATTTTCACCAAAATAATCCCAATTCTGATATCAATGTTGTAACGTTTTCTTTCTTTAAATTATTGGTGAAAATAAGGCAAAGTCCAGTGTTCTTAGCCCTCCAGTGGCTCACTGGTAAGTTTGAAGGCCTATAACGCTAAATTGGCTATCTGTGATCTGCCCACCACGGGTATCGAAACCCGGTTTCTAGCGTTGTATGTACGCAGACATACCTCTGTGCCACTGGGGGGGGGGGACATTTATGAGTAAAGTCGATCATTGCGCCCGTCACCAGGTGGTCCTTTATTTATATTTAAAAAATCGGATCTCCAAGTCAATGGCCGGAAGATTTTAAGATGACTGACTGAGCTGTAAGTAAAAAAATTATTGTCAAAGGGTCCATGAAACCTAACGTCACGTGATATTTGCGTATCTAAAGCCTCTCGCATATATTTCTATTGTTTAGTGCTTCAATTATTTAAATAAAATAATTTAATAAAATTGGAAAAATTTTTGTTGCAAATTTTATCAGCTTTATTACTTTATTAGCTTATCTTTTTCTCCTTTTTATGTATGATAAGATCATCGTATTTTTTCTTCTGCAACATCATTTCAGTTTTTAGATTGCATGTTTGTTTTGTTTTATTGTTTGAAACTATCAATTCGTAGTGATTTTAGATATTTTCAAATTATTATGTTCATGTTGACTAACTTTGAAGGTATTGTCTGTAAATTCCATTTTTAGCCGCGGATGAACGGCTCTCTGTTTTTTGTTTTGTTTTTTTCCTAGTACAAACTTTTATCTCGTAGCTCCGTCATCTCTTGACCAATTTGAGATCTAATTACAGTTTTGAACGCAGGAGGTCAAATCCTTTCGATTGATGTATTTCACCACGCCCAAGGTCTCATAGATTAATTTACCCTAATCGTGCCTAAAATACTTTCAATTTGAGGGTAGACTGGTAAAGATCCTGATGATTAATAAAATCGAATCGGGTATTAACTCCCCAGCCTTGGTATTGCTGGCGCACAAAAATATAGCTAATAATAAGGGAAAACAAAGGTCTCATAGATTAATTTACTCCAATCCGGCCTAAAAGAATTTCAAGTGTCACGGCTATTGATGATTCCCTCTTGTTTTTAGTAAATAAAGAAAAGACACTTTGGTTATTGTTTGATTTTTATTTATTGGAAAATGTTTTCAGATTATAATAAGTTTGTTTGTAGTTGAGCACAAAGCTACACAATGGGCTATTTTTGCTCTGCCCACCACGGGTATCGAAACCCGGATTCTAGCGTTGTAAGTCCGCAGACATACCGCTGGATCACTGGTGAGGGAGGGGCATTATAATAAGACTTGAATATAAAAAGTAGAAGAAGAAATGTTATATAATTTCAGTGACTTGCTCTATTCTAATGAATCTATAGTGTTATTTACATTACAAGTCATTAGTTTCGCGTTAGAGCGATTTGTTGGTCTATGTACGTTTGTTTTCTAAAGTATTTCTCTCTCTGATGTATATTTTCTCTGAGTTTGTCAATATTTTCTGGTGAAATTTTTCATCAACATGTTTAAAGATTTTCAGAATATCCACCTTTTTTTTTTCGTACATTTGTACTGCTAAAGTCTATGAATAATAATACACACAGGTGGTTAGTGCGCTTGATTCGGAATCTGAGGATTGCGGGTTCGAATCCCCGTCACACCAAACATGCTCGCCCTTTCAGCCTTGGGGGCGTTATAATGTGACGGTT